TGAAGAATATAAATGTAGAGGACAGAATTAATATTAATAAACTGAGAGACAGATCATAGGAAATAACCCCAAATTAAGCCACACAAAGCACACAGAAGAAAATAATTTTTGAAAAGGAGTGTAGGGCAGTGCCTGTGGCTCAAGGAGTATGGCACTGGCCCCATATACTGAGGGTGGCGGGTTCAAACCCAGCCCCTGCCAAACTCCAACAAAAATATAGCTGGGCGTTGTGGCAGGCACCTGTAGTCCCAGCTATTCAGGAGGCTGAGGCAAGAGAATTGCCTAAGCCCAGGAGTTGGAGGTGGTGTGATGTGTGATGCCACAGCACTCTACCCAGGGCGACAGCTTGAGGCTCTTGTCTAAAAAAAAAAAAAAAAAAAAAAAAGTCGGTGGCGCCTGTAGTTCGGTGTAGGGCGCTGGTCCCATGTACCCGAGTGTGGCGGGTTCGAACCCGCCCCGACCAAACTGCAACAACAACAACAACAAAAATAGCCGGGCGTTGTGGTGGGCACCTGCAGTCCCAGCTCCTGGGAAGGCTAAGGCAAGAGGATCGCTTGAGTCCAAGAGTCTGAGGTTGCTGTGAGCTGTAACGCTACAGCACTCTATCCAGGGCAATAGAGTGAGACTCTGTCTCCAAAAAAAAAAAAAAAATCCTCTATCTTTATATCTGTATCTACACCAGAGTGCGCAGTAGGCGCACTCTTCAGCCAGCATTATAGTTTAAAAGAGCAGGAAGCAGATTCTGTCAACTGCTTCAGAGGCTGTGAGTAAGGGGCTGCAGCGAAGGTCAGGCAGGTGCACTGACACGCCCCGGTGAGTGTGGGGGGACGCACTGAGTCTCAGGGGCCACGCGAGGCCCAGGCGCTAGAGGTAAATGGTGGCAGGAACCCGAGAGTGGTGAGAGATAGAGGGCAGTGCAGGAAGAGAGGGCGGGAAGGGACGGAGCCAGCCCCGGCTCAGCGGAATCCGGGATTTGTGGAGCGAAGGGTCGCGGATTGGCCGCCGTGGAGAGCGCCTCTAAACACAAGGCGCCCTCTAGCGTCCCCAGACCTGCCCGCGGCGGTCCCTGAAGCCCCACCCAGCTCCGCGCGCAGTGCAGGCGCCGGGTTCCCTTTTGTCGCGCGGCCCTATAGTTCCGGCTGCGGCGCGCGAGCGGAAGGTTGATGAGGACGGACCGTGGCCGCCGCAATGGGCGCAGGGTGAGTGGGAGAGGCCGGGGCCTGGGCGGGTGAAGGGTGAAGTACAACGCAGGGTCCGCTCTTGGTCTTCCCAACGGGCTCTGCTCTTGTCGTCCCCTAGCTGGGACTCGGTGTCTTCAGCTCCACGTAAAGCGCAGGATTTTGCTCCCTGCCTTAGCCTCCGGGTCTCCTCTTCCCCTGAGAGACTTCCAGTTCCGAAAATGGTTTTGACTGATTTTTAAGGTAAAAATACATCCTCCTGACGCGATCCAAATGTGGGAATTCTGTCTTTCCAGGCTGGACGTTTCGACATGAAATTGTATGTGGGCAGTCCGGTGGGACTCAGCAGAGCAGGGGGAGTCGGGCTGGCAGGAAAGCCGGAGAGGAGGTGAGGCCCTCAGCTTGGACGGGGCTGGGCGGGGGCGGCGCCTGGAGATTCAGGTGGAGTCGCCCTTGGAGAACACAGCTGCTGAGACTCCATTCATTATGAGTGACTTAACTATCACCTCCTGGGGAGAAGGAAAATGTGTACTGACTGAGACGTGGCCCTAAGGCCAAATCCGGTGGCCGGTGTCTGTTCTCAGGAGCACCCTGTTCTTGAGAGAGACCACTGGTTGAAGCGTCGTGTGAACATAGTGCGTCCTGGAAAGGGCTAGGGCTGGGGCACCGCTTCGACCCAAGTGAGGAATAGCGTTCTCACAAAATTGCTAGACTGCGATGGGCAGGGATGTTCTTTCTTTTCTTTTCTTTTCTTTTCTTTTCCATATCTCTCTCGGATGTGTTTGCTTTCCTTTCCTTCCTCCCTTCTTTCCCTTTCTTTTTTCTTTTTGAGACAGAGTCTCACTTTGTCACCCTTGGTAGAGTGTCATAGCGACACAGCTCACAGCAACCTCAAACTCTTGGGCTCAAGCGATCCTCTCGCCTCAGCCTCCCCAGGAGCAGGGACTACAGGCGCCCGGCTATTTTTTAGAGACGCGCAGCTATTTTTAGAGAGGCTCAGGTTGGTTTCCAACCTGTGAGTTCAGGCAATCCGCGGCCTCCCAGAGTGCTAGGATTACAGTCGTGAGCCCCGTGCCTGGCCCTCTTTCCTTTTCTTTCTTGACTTTTTTTTTTTTTTTTTTTTTTTGCAGTTTTGAACCTGCCACCTCCAGGCATATGGGGCCCGCGGCCACAGGCGCCATCCTTCTTTCTTGACTTTTTAATAGAGGGGAAAAAGAACGGTGACTGAGGGATTTTTTTTCTTCATCAACCCTAGACTGCTTGAGGGAACCATCCCTCAGTAACATTGTTTCCTCTTTTACTCCCATGCTTACAAACTGAGTACTAAATTGTTTTCCTAGGACTTTGCCACTGTTAAGGAGGTGCATTTGGGACTAGACACAAATGCATCAGTCAGGAAAAAGGGCTTGCTCCGGAGGTCAGACACCCCAAGACTGCCAGCTGTGGTCACAACAGATTTCATGGGCCTAAAGTGCTTTCTTGTACTTGATCTGAGCCTTTGTTAACTGTTTCCCCTTTTCCTAACAGGTGAGGGCAGTCTTCCTCACCATCCCTGACTCAGAAAAAGCATAAAGGCCACTACCTATGAATGCCACTACCAGGCATGAACTGGATTAACTCTGTATCTGGCGAGAGGTGTAAGAGTCCCCCACATCTCTGCTGGATGAAGAGGAAATGTGTTTCTAGTGTCCCCATTTAAAACTTAATCATATATTTTGTTAAGAAATTAATGTAGCCGGGCACGGTGGCTCACGCCTATAATCCCAGCACTTAGGAGGCCAAGGTGGATGGATTGCCTGAGCTCACAGGTTGGAGACCAGCCTGAGCCAGAGCAGGCCTCTTGCTGAGGCAAGAGAATTGCTTAAGCTCAGGAGTTTGAGGTTGCTGTGAGCTATGACAGCACAGCACTCTACTAAGGGTGACAAAGTGAAAAATAAATAAAAATTAATGTACCAGGTGATTAGAGGTAGTTCATTAGTTCTTATCAAATATTGATAAAGAGTACCTGTTGCACACCAGTTACTATGATAAGTTCTAAGGAGACATTTGTGGGCAACATCTGACATCATCCCTGCCCTTTGTGAACTCCTGGTCCACTGTGGTGTAGCTGAACTAATATTGTACAGGACTACACTTTTTAACACAGCTGAGACTAGAAAGGATATAAAAAAGACTGAGTAGACAAAATAGTACCAAGTTGACACACCTAATCTCATGCATTTTACTCTAGAACAGTGGTTCTCAACCTTCCTAATGCCTCCATGTGTTTTCATTGTTAGAAAGGGGTCGTGACCCACAGGTTGGGAACTGCTGCTCTAGAAGAAACCCACAGGCTTATAGAGCCTGGTAACTTTGACTTTGTTTACAAATTTTAACAAACTTGTTTACCTGGTTTTCTAGCCCACAGCAACCAAGAAGCAGTGAATCAGATAAAGGGAGAATGATTACAGAGGATCACTAAGAAAAGTGGCCTGTAAGGTAATGGTCTAACAATTATAAAAAATAGGTACCAACACAGAGCACAAGACCCTCAATCCTTTGAGTATAAGGTAGCATTTTCATGTACTGTGTTCTTATACTTGTTCCATGGGACCTTAACACTAATTATATAGAGAAGGGATAAATGGGAATAACAAGGTTAGCAAATTAAACTAGATTCTTTGCTGTAGAATTTCTCAGATTTTTTAATAGACTCAAACTCATTTATTTTGAGGCATCCCTCCATAACAGTGTTCTGCAGCATATACTTGGAAAAATGTTAGTATAAAGTGAAACATGAGGGTAGTGGTGTGCTGAGCATATTTAGAGTGGTAATGCAAAGTCATCATGAGAGGGTGAATTATGTTTAGTATAATCTGTTTAGTGAGACATAGAAGACGGATACACATTTTAATTGTTTTCTATTAAAATGGTTAAACATTTTGGAATAATGTCTTTCTATACTCTAAGGAGTCTGGAAAAGTAGTTTTTGCTCTGGTTTAACTTTATTGCTGTTGGATACACAAGCCATTAACTATGTTTGAAATGTACTTCATGCTATTGTGTAGTAAAAAGGGTTTTCCTACTTTAGTCCCTAACCCCAATTTTTTCTTGAGATGGTCTCACTCTCTTAACCCCAACGTAATATACTAGCCACAATTTATAGTATTGTTTCCATGAACCAATATGATAGTGCGTTCCCAACAGCCTATTTACAAATGGAATTTTATTTTATTTTATTTCTTCATTTATTTTTTATTTTTTTATTTTTTTTTGCAGTTTTTGGCTGGGGCTGGTTTTGAACCCACCTCCTCCAGCATATGGGGCCAGCGCCCTACTCCTTTGAGCCACAGGCGCTGCCCTTTATTTTATTTTATTTATTTTTTGAGACAAAGTCTCACCATGTTGCCCTTGATAGAGTCCCATGGTGTCACAACTCACAGCAACCTCAAACTCTTGGGCTTGGCTCGGCGCCTGTGGCTCAGGTGGCTAAGGCACCAGCCACATACACCTAAGGTGGCGGGTTCAAATCCAGCCCAGTCCCACCAGAAACAACAATGACAGCAACCAAAAAAAAAATAGCTGGGCATTGTGGTAGGCGCCTGTGGTCCCAGCTACTTGGGAGGCTGAGGCAGGAGACTCGCTTGAGCCCAGGAGTTGGAGGTTGCTGTGAGCTGTGATGCCATGGCACTCTACCCAGGGGGATAGCTTGAAGCTCTCTCTCAAAAAAAAAAAAAAAGAACTCTTGGGCTTAAGCGATTCTCTTGCCTCAGCCTCATAAGGAGCTGGGAGTACAGGTGCCCTCCACAACACCTGGCTGTTTTTTGCTTGTAGTTGTTATTGTTGTTTGGCAGGCCCAGGCTGGGTTCAAACCCTCCAGCTCCAGTGTATGTGGCTGGCGCCATAACCACTGTGCTACAGGGGCCAAGCCCTTACAAATGGGCTTTTATTTTTTTTATTTTATTATTTTTGTTTTTTTGAGATAGAGCCTGAAGCTACCCCCCGGGTAGAGTGCTATGGCATCACAGCTCACAGCAACCTCCAACTCCTAGGCTCAAGCGAGTCTCCTGCCTCCGCCTCCCAAGCAGCTGGGACCACAGGCGCCCGCCACAATGCCCAGCCATCTCTTAGTTGCAGCCCGGCCATCTCTTGGTTGCAGCTGTCATCGTTGTCCGGCAGGCCCAGGCTGGATTCGAACTCGCCACCCTAGGTGCATGTGGCTGGCGCCCCAGCCAGTTGAGCCACAGGCGCCAAGCCACAAAAGGACTTTTAAATATCACACATTTGTAGTTGGGCACTGTATTAAAACAAGTGGTCCAGCCACTGTTAAATGTTTTGAAGTGAATTCCAAAACAAAATTAGTGAGCATTAAATTTTTAACTTGTTTATATCCACCTAGAGTCTTCCCTAACTGTATATATGCACTATAATTTTTATGAAGTTGTAAGTATATACATACACTCTTGTGAAGTGCTTTTCTGAGTCATTAATGACTTATATAAATATTTCTGATATCTGCCTATGTTATGTATAGCTATGTGATATTTCATTGTGTCAGTAGTCTACAGTTTGCTGAATAACAGAGTAGCAGCAAACTGTCCTCGTGACAGGTCTGTATATCTGAGCACAGAAATGTTTTCTTCATGCTAATTCTCAATCCATAATTTTGAAATCCCCTTTGTTTCCTCCATTTCTTTATTTTGACTTTTCTACTCAGTTTTATGAGATAATTCCAGTTTCATACATATTCTTAAATTTTGTCATTTTCCTTCACAGTTAAAGCACCATTGATCAGTTTACATATAATGCCTACTGAGGCTAACAATTTGTTGCTTTTGTTATGCTTAATGATTTCCAGCTTTGTCTAATTTGAATTATGACTTTACTAGCCCTTTCATTTTTATATTTTACATTCATTTTAATAAAACAAGGGCACCAGGCATCAAACTAATCACTGGCACTAATATTGCTGTATTAGATAGTGATGGTACCAAAAAAGAATGTTTGGTTATCAGGTAGCACCGTCGTATGACAACTAGAAATGTTCTTCAATAAATTGTTGGAAAGGTGATGTAGGAATGTTTATGAAATTGTGTAAAGGTTGAATGTTTAAAAGTTAAGGGGTACGGGAATTTGCTATTAAGAGCAGTCCTCACAGTACACTCAGCTTCTCACTTTCCTCTTAACTGAATTCTCTACAGATTTGCTATCACTGCAATTTAAATGGGGTTTGCATCCCCTCATTTCTGGTAAATTGGTTAAAATTATGGTGAAAAATGTTTTTTTCCCTCCCTGACATGTAAGAGCTTATTTTTTTTTCTACAGCATTTCTCTGTTTATAGCTGGCTGCCTGTTTGCTTTGTGAGTGAGAACACTGGGATCATTTTCATCATGCCAACAGTGGTGGTAATGGATGTATCTCTTTCCATGACTCGACCTGTGTCTATCGAGGGGTCTGAAGAATACCAGCGTAAGCACCTAGCAGCCCATGGTTTGACAATGCTGTTTGAGCACATGGCCACAAATTACAAGCTTGAATTTACAGCCCTGGTAGTTTTTTCATCACTTTGGGAGTTGATGGTCCCCTTCACAAGAGATTATAATACCTTACAGGTATGAAAAAGGATAAATTATTGTATGTACAGGGCCCAGATTTATTGGGAGAAAAAACAGTGCTATAATATTGCACAGAATTTTTAGAACTCAGAATTATTTAACATTAAGTCTATGGGTACTTAATATGTGTAGCTGTAAAACAAGGATTTACAACCAGTAGGACTTACATCTTTCTTTGGGAGAGATTTGTGTTAAAGGTGTGACTTGCTGCCTTAGTTTCTTGGTTTTCTGGAATGCTTTGTGGAAAGAGGCAAGCATCTCAGGATGCAGTGCTGCATTATTCAGGGTCTTTAGGATCAATACTTTACTTTTTTCTGCTTTCCCATAAAACTTGAGGAAAGGAAAAATAGCCCTTATGAAAGCCCTTATTCTAGAATAATTGGAAATGATATTTCCTCTCCAACAAATAGCTTTGACTTATAGATACCAATAAATTACACTTTTTAAACCTCAATTGACAGATGTTATCTTCCAAAGGCATTTCCTGTGTTCTACCAGAGAATTTACTTCTGATAACATCTCTAAATCATAGTATTTGCAACAGTGCCTAGCACAGTGCCTTGCTCATATTGAGTAGTCAGAGGTGTTTGTGGAATTGAACTAAATAGTTTATTAATTATTAGATAATTTAGAAGTCTAGGATCAATGTAGTTTTAATTTGGGGGGAGATAGTTTTGCTCTCTTGCCTAGGCTGGAGTGTAGTGGCTTGATCATAGCTCACTGAAGCCTCAAACTCCTAGGCTCAAGTGATCCTCCAGAGTAGCCAGGACTACAGGTGCATGCCACCATGCCCAGCTAATTTAAAATAAATTTTTTTGTATGTAGAGATGGGGTTTTTCTGTGTTGCCCAGGCTGCGCTCAAACTTTCTGATGTTCACCACTTCTGAAATTTAGAGAATTGCTATATAAAGAGTGAGGAGTCATGCTTAGACCAGAAGCCCTGAAGTCAGATTGCCTGGATACAAATCCAGGCTTTGCCACCCCTAGTCATGAGATCTGGGAAAGTTACTTAATCTTTCTATACCCTGGTTTATTTATTTAAAAATCAGATTAATAATCTAGACCATGGCTCGGCGCCTATGGCTCAACCAGCTAATGTGCTAGCTATATACACCTGAGCTGGCGGGTTCAAATCCAGCCTGGACCCGCCAAACAACAATGACAGCTGCAACCAAAAAATAGTCTGGCATTGTGGTGGGCGCCTATAGTCCCAGCTACTTGGGAGGTGGTGGCAGGAGAATCGCTTGAGCCCAGGAGTTGGAGGTTACTGTGAGCTGTGATGCCACGGTTCTCTACCCAAGGCGACAGCTTGAGGCTCTGTCTCAAAAAAATAAAAAATAAAAATAATCTAGACCGTGTAGTGTTATTGTGTTGATTAAATACACATAAAGTGCCTAGAATGGAGTGTAGGATATATTTAGTATTTAATAAATTTTGTTACTATTTTTGTGATGTGTTTAAAGTTCATTTCAACTGTTTTCTTTCAAAGGTCTACTTACAAAGACACAAACATGGTGGACTGTTCACTCTCACCGGATAAGAAGCTTTTTTAATGTTTTATAGTTGAAGAAGTCTATTTTACCAGTTTTTCTTAAAGAATCTATACTTTGAGGCTCTCAGATACATAGTGCCCCATTTGTAACATTTGTACTTTGAACAGTTTATGTTGTTTTCTAATAACAAATTAAAACTAAAAAATAACAAATGATTTTATCTTTTATTCAATAAGGAAGCACTAAGTAATATGGATGATTATGACAAAACCTGCTTGGAGTCTGCATTAGTTGGTGTTTGCAATATCGTTCAGCAAGAGTGGGGTGGTGCAATTCCTTGCCAGGTAATAATCAGTTCTTTTTCATTGCCACAAGTTAAGAACATTAGTCACTGAGGAACTTCAGTTTTCTTCAGGCCATGTCAGCATGTGTTGTAATTTCCACAAACGGAAAGCATTCTTGAAGTAAATTGACTTATTGCAAACTGTACTGTTTGTATAAAACACAAAGGGCTCACAGTGAAATTTTAGAAGTGCATTTCCTGGAAGGGGGGATTATAATTTTGAGTGATAGAATTGTCAGTATCAGTACCATGTAGTCCATCTTGATTATCTCAGTGTAGCCTTTATCCAGCAAACTTGTAACCATCTCAACTAAATGAATTGTCTAAAAAGTGAGGAGTATAAATATTATAAAATCTGTTGCTCTTAGAGTTCACGGTAGGTCCACATTAGCATCAAATTGGAGCAGAGTAGTAACAGAAAAAGAATATTGAAAGTTTCCTATATACAGTACAGTCCTTTGAGAAGTGGTAGCATATTTCGAAGGAGAAAACAGAAACATTGCTAAAAGGAAAATGGTAGTCTACAACAGGAGTAAACAAACTTGTGTGTGTTTTAGGCTTTGTAGGTATCTGTGGCAACTACTAAAGCTCTTCTGTTACAGCATGACAGCAGCTATTGATAATAAGCATTAGGTCAGATTTGGGGCATAATTTGCCAGCCAGTGATGTATGACTTTTTATTTTTGTTTATTTATTTATTTGAGACAGAATCTCAAGCTGTCGCCCTGTATAGAGTATCGTGGCATCACAGCTCATAGCAACCTCCAACTCATGCTCAAGCGATCCTCTTGCCTCAGTTTTTCTATGTTTAGTAGAGATGGGGTCTCCCTTTTGCTCAGATTGGTCTAGAACCTGTGAGCTCAAACAATCCACCCACCTCAGCCTCCCAGAGTGCTAGGATTACAGGCGTGAGCCACCTCACCCAGCCAGTATAGCATCGAACACAGGATAACTCAGTAGTGTCGGTGGCATCACTAATATTTATTTTTAAATTAAAAATAAAATTATACACTTGTAATCTCAGCTACTTGGGAGGTTGAAGAAAATCGCTTAAACACAAGAGTTGGGCTCGGCGCCTATAGCTCAACCGGCTAAGGCGCCAGCCACGTACACCTAAGGTGGCAGGTTCAAATCCCCAGCCTGGACCCGCCAAACAACAATGA